CCCGCTCCGCACACGCTTCTCGTTATGCTCTCCTCATCCCCTTCCTGTTTCGTTTACATCTTGGGAAGATTTCTGAGGCAGTGACACAAAAAGTGAACTGGAAGGACACCAGGCTGGGGACAGAGAGGCCGGCTCGGGGGAGGGCCGGCAGCCATCTGGTTAGCCGACGGCAGTGGCAGCAGGTGTCGGGAAGGGGAGAGGGACGCGAGACGCTTGACTGAATGTGTTGGCGACGCGTCTCACAACCTGACTTCCCCGATGCCTGCCTGTGGTTCTGTAGCATCTCACCTTCGATTGTGAAGACAGCAAGGCTCAGCTCTCTGGCGAGATCAGTATGTAAGCCAGAGGGCCTTACAGAGTCCACAGGCCACGGCCCCGACCGAGCGGTTGGCAGAACGTAAGTGACAACCAACTGCATGTGAACAGCTAGCGACTGAGTCCCGCAGCTGTGTCTTCAGCACCTCAACAGGCCGCTTTTTGGACATGCAGTTCTGTTTGCAGATCCATCTGTCTGTCTGTCTCTGTGTCTCCCAAAGCACCAGTGAGAAGACGGAAAGCACATCCTCCAACAGCTGTCATGGAAAAATCAAACGTCTACGCGTTAGTCACTGCTGCAATTGTTGGTTTGTTTTTTACTTCTTTCTATACGCCTGTCTTTTCATGAATTTGCATTTCATTTTAGAATTAGAACCAATTCAAAATATTTATTTTTTCCTTGACCTAGAGATGTGTTTCTTGCTGAAGACAGCTTTCGCTTCTCTCCACACAGGAAGGCACTGAAGATGGTTTAGCAAGAGCAAAAGTTGATGTGTTTGAAACAAAGAAAACTTTTAGTGCCTGCAGTTATAATTAAATCGTAACATGTCTGAGATGGGACTTCTTGAGTCCCGGGCGAGTCTTACACCTGCCTTGAGCTGTCAGGTGCCCCGAGAGTCAGCGTCCTGGGCCGTTGTGCTTCCGTAGAGAAGGAGCCCGCTGTGCAGTCCTCTGCAGAGGCGGCTTTCTTCTGCCATCAGCACCTGGCCCGCCATTCCCCTGGAGGGGAAGGAAGTGTCACAGTCTTTGGGGACCATATGGTCTCTGTCTTGTTACTCAATCATGCCATCGAGTAAAATGCATCCGTAGACGGTCTGTAACCCAGGGTGTTGCCGTAGTCTGCTAAAACTCCTTTTACGAAAACAAGCCACAGGCTGGATTGGCCCAAGGGCGGTCGTTCACCAGCCTCTGTCCAGTATTATCAGCACGGCCCGGGCTGAGTCCTAACTCCTTGTTTCCTCTTTTTTTATTAGGAAACTGTCCTGGTGAAATGTGATCGGCCTGCTCACCCTTTGATTAATAAGACATATAATTTCGAGAGGTAAGTGCTTTGATGCCTAAAGCAACGTTACATAAATATGAATTTCGCATTAGCATTTGGCTCACGAGATTCACAACACATCCTGCCGTTTGCACTGATTGCCCAGCCGCAAAGACCATTTTGCAGAGCAAGCGAGTCTTTCCAGCCAGTGGTGCTGGAGCCGTGGGGCGACCCCTGCAGACGGGAAGTGACCCCTGATGTGTGTACCACACCTTTTGCAAAAAGTAAGTGAAATGGAATCTAGACCTAGATATGAAGCATAAAACCGTAGAACATAGGAGCTTGAGAAACGCCACTAAAAGCGTGATCTATACACAAAAAACATCTACCGGACTCGACCACAATGAAACCGTTCGCTCCGTGTGCGACCTTGTTAGGGGGACGAGCCGGCAAGCCCCACGCCGTAGAAACCTTGGGTAATCAGAGCTCCCCGAGCACGTGTACCCAGCAAACAGAACGGACCAGCCCCCTCAGCAGGCGGGCAAAGTGTCCGGACAGACGCTCCCCCAGAGCGAGATGCTGACGATGAGTTTCCCGGGAAGGTCAGCTGAGAGCCCGGCGAGCCGCCCGCCCCCTGCGTCAGGATGCCCAACCCGTCAGACTGGCCGGACCAAGTGCTGGTGGCCTGACATGAAACACATGCTGAGCCTATGACCCAGACATCCCGGAAGAGACCACTCCAGGGGGAGGAGAGCAGGTGAGGGTCTGTCCGGAGCCAGGAGGCTGGGAAGGGGTTGCCACCTGAGAGGCCGCATGAGGGAGTCTCTGGGGAGAGCTGTTCTCCGGGGTGGCATTGCTGTGCATTTGTCCGGACCCACACACCTGTCGCCTCAAAAAGTGAAGTCTTCTCTATGTAGATTTTAAAAATACAAACAATTTTTCAAAGAGGCTTTAGGAGACCAAAGAACCAGGTGTGATGTGTGGATCCTGATCAGTCAATAAACTCCTATGCTGTGTTTTACCAAGACGGCTGACGTGGCTGTGCGCATTTCCGACACAGAACTCTGCCGCGGGTCGTCATAGCAATGGGATCAGTCAGTACCGGATGTACCGGTCTCGCGTGTGATGCCAGAGACTCCGGGTCAGTGACACCAACACCAGTGGGGCCCCAGGGAGAGAGGAGCAAACCCCTAAGTTTGGTCAGAGACCCCACCCCCTCTCGGTGACAGACAGAACCAGAATCCAGTGGTCGTGAGCAGAGGCCTCTGGAGCCTGTGTATTTGATCCTGCAAAGTAGAAGTTAGCCAGTTTGTCTGTCTTCCCTCAAAATGACGGGAGGACCTTGGAAGGCTCAGGCTTGCACCTTGCAGCCACCCAGTCCGACGCAGAGACCCCCGGGCCGTAAGCTCCCCACCAGCCTCAGGGCCCTGAGGCTCCATCACCCCCCCGCCCCCCCGCTGCGCTGACCATGTCCATGAGGACTGGGATGTGGAAGAGAACACAGAGGGCAAGTGTCGCCCCTGGGCCGGCTCTGTGATTGCTGGTGATCCTGCCCGGGGGGGCCGTGCCCTTCACCCCTGGCTGCCACCACCTCCACGTCCTCTCTGGGGACATGCGCTCTCGGGGCCGGTGAGGACACAGGAGGGCTCTGGCCGCCAGCCGTCCCGCCACCCCACTGTGCCAGATGCGGGGCCCCAGGCTTCTCGGCCCCAGAGGGACCCCAGTGGACCAGGAGGGGCAGGCCCATCCACGCAGGGTTCTGGCCTAGGAGGGAAGTCACAGCCGCAGACTCCCGCCCTTCAGACCTTGCTGTCACTGCTGTGCTGGCATGAGGGCACGGTGGTCTCAGTCAGACACACTGGCCGGCCGCCTGCACAGCAGGATTTGTGCCCCGGGGTCTTGCTGTGTCCCTGAAGCACGTGGTCCCGGGGGATGGTCTGTGAGGCGCACACTCTGGAGCCTTTGCCTTGGACGATCTCATCCAGGCCGAGAGGCTCAGCATGGTGCTTCCCTCTGCACGTGGGAACTTTTCCGCCGCCGTCTCCCGGCTTCCACTGCTGCTGGCCCGGAGCCTGGCGGTCCTTTTGTCCAGACCTTGTGCGAAGAGACTTGACCCAGAGGGCTCGTCTGGCCAGGGAAGGGATTCCAAGCTCAGGACCGGAGCTGTGGCCCGGCGGGCCTCTGGCCTTGAGGGTGGCCAGCCCCCTGGGTCAGGAGAAGGGCTTCTGTTTATAGGAGCGGAGTGGGGGGCTGCCTCGGGGGAACACTGGTCTCGCCCTGAGGCCAGCCGGTTCTCGGGGCGGGGGGAGGGCTGTGAAGGATCCCCCCAGACTCTGATCCGGTCTTTATGAGACCGCTCCAGCTGGGGATTTCCCTACCCCAGGGCCGCTGTCCATATCCATGTGATCTGCAGGTTTGTGGTTGTGGCTCCTCCCGGAGGACCCCCCACTCCATCTGGAGCCCACAGCACACTCTCTACCATCTCTGTTTATCAGGACCCGCCCTTCAGGCCTCACCCTTGCAGAGGGCCCGGGCCCCCTGTCCCTGTGTGTCGCCCCTCCAGAGGGCGGGCCCAGCCTGGAGCCCTCCTCCTTGGCTCAGTCTGCCACCCTGCAGGACAGCGCCAGGTTTTCCACGGTCTGGCGGCCTCTCCTCCTGCTGCTGGAACGTTCCCCTCCTTCCGTCCATCCAGGCTGTGTTCTGTATGGCATTACGTGTCTGGTTATGTGTCTTCAGTGTTCGGTGCATGTGGAGAGGGGAGGTGGCCACACCTCCAGAGCCCACCCTGCCACGAGGCAGGTCTTTAATCCACCTCACGTTTACGTGGCCCCTCAGATTGTTTCGAGCCTGTATGTGCAAATCAAGTCCCTCAACCTTCTCAGGAACACCTGGGCAGGTGCCACAGGTGAGGAAACCAAGGCCCAGCTGGTCACACACCTTTCTGGAGTCAAGTCTGGCCAGCTACCACCTGCAGGAACCGAGAAGGGCTGGCAAGGGTGCTCGGGTGGGGACGCGTTGGCCGGCCATCACCAGGACCTTGTTTTGGGGAGTAGGGAGGAAGGGTGCCCACACCTCACTCAGATTCCAGGATTTCTGGGATGCTCGGTGGTAGTGGTCACAACACGCTGGGTGGGGTTTGGACAGACGGGGAAGATCTCGATTGTGCTGTTTGAACAAAAGAAGAAATGAAGGAATGTGCACAGGTCGCTGTATATCTAGGTTAAGAAGCAAGAATTTAAATTTAAATCTCCATGGGAATTTATTCTGGGGAAATACTGTTTTGGTGCTCAGGACTATCTCCCTTCATAAACAGTAGAGCACGTGGGGCTTATGAAACCAGGCCATTGCCTATTTTATAACAGCTTTTTATGGAACTAATAAATGTCAAAATACTTTATTTCAGTTCTGAAAGAAAATCTTAACAGTTTCAGTACTTAATCCCTTTTTCAAAATAAATGTGCATCAAAGGAAAATACACTCCTTACTATTCAGGAACAATATGAATGGGCCCAGAGTCAGAGGGTAGTTGCCGCCTTCCAAGAGGAATAAAAATATGTTGTTATTTGTTAAAATGGCAAACTAAAAGTAACAGCCACTGACCCAAAATGCCATAAGAAAAATACTAAGTAATTTTATTGTCTCAAGTCTAATTTATGTATCGGGTGGACGAAGGTGGCTGCATTCTCTCCTTACGTGCACTTAGGCCATCGTGGACCCGAGTTGTGTTCGTGTTGACTCCCCTGTGGTCAGAGTTCGAGGCTTCCCCAGCCTCCTACTACATGCAGGGCAAGGGCTACAGGTGAGCCGAAGGTATCCGAACCCAGTCCTGACAACTCAGTTAACCAGGATACAAAATGGTCAAAGGCATAGAGAAAGAAGAGGGTCAGGGACCCCCGGATGCCTCCAGTGGGGCTGGGTGTGAATTGGAGCCGGTGGGGGGTGCTGGCTATGTGGAGTGAACGCCCTCCACGTGGCCTGGCCTACCCCCTGCACCTGCAGCTTCTCGCCAGGACCCGTTAGCACCTGGGGCTGCAGCCGCCGAGCCGCCGTGGCTGAAATGTCACCTGTGCCTGGCGGGGGCTGGATGTCCTGTCAGGTGGCTGAGGGCCACGCACCATCCTTCTCTGTGAGCGCTCAAGTCTGTAGACACTGTTCTCCAAAGAGAGAGAAAGGATTTCTAATATAAAGAGAAACATTAGGAGCATATTTCTACAATAGAAGGAAATGTTAAAGTTTAACACAAAGAGGATTGGCCTTTTTCTTCTCTATTTTTAGTGTGTTAATCTTTTATCTGTGATTTAAGTTGCAACTCTTTTCCAAGTTTGTTATTTGTATTCTTCTCCTGAAATCTCTTAGCCATGCAAAAGCTTTTTCCCCTTTAAGTATAGTTACAAAGGTCACCAGTTTAGAGAAAAATATACCCATGTGTTCTAGTAATCATGTGGTTTATTTTTGACATTAAATTTGCGATCCATTTGGGATGTATCCTAGAATAATTAATGTCTAAGGAATGGATCCCATTTCCCCTTTTTCCATGTACCTCCCCAGTTACAGGGACAACACTTAGTGAAACAATCTTTCCCTGCTAATCTGAGATGTCTCCTTTATCCTACAACTGCCAGGCACAGTTGGGTCTAGTTCTGCATTTGTCTTGGACACCCTCGGGAGCTCGCAGGTACAAGCAGGTGCAGGCTGCACTGCCCTCCCCCACCCCCATCTTATGGAACCAGTTGCTTCATTGTGTCCAACTGCTGACCTCCTGAGTAATGACTCAATACAACGTTACCAAGTGCGGGTGGCAGGACCTTTGACCTTGGCTTCGTGTTGGTGGGAAAGACCTGAGTGTTTAAGTAAGACTCTCACCAAGCCTAAACTATTTACTATTTAGGAAAAGTTTGCCGACCCCTGCAGTAGATTAGAAATTTAGAAGATATTCGGCTAGGAGCCACAGGAATGCTGTGTTTGAATCATGAGTTGTTTTTTTTTTTTTAAAGATTTTATTTATTTATTTGACAGAGAGAGACAGTGAGAGCAGGAACACAAGCAGGGGGAGTGGGAGAGGGAGTAGCAGGCCTCCCGCCGAGCAGGGAGCCCGACGCGGGACTCAATCCCAGGACCCCGGGATCATGACCTGAGCTGAAGGCAGACGCCCAACGACTGAGCCACCCAGGCGCCCTGAATCATGAGTTTTAAAAAACCGACAGGAAAAGTAAGCTTACCAGAGAACTGGAGAAATGTCAGAGAACATGGACTGACTTTGGGGGATGATGTTGAGGAATTACCGTTAATTTTTTCAAATGTGGTAATGGTAGCATCATGATGTTTTTTGGAAGAGTCTTCATCCTTTTCAGATACATACTGAAACATTTTCGAGGTCAGCTTCCACAGGCTCCAAATGGAGGGCTGCAGGCTTGCGCCAAGTAGCAGGCCATGGGGATTCGGTGATAAGTTAAAAAAAAAAAAAAAAAAGATTCAAGGGGCCCCTGGGTGGCAGTCTGTTAAGGGTCTGACTCTTGGTTTTGGCTCAGGTCATGATCTCAGGGTCGTGGGATCGAGCCCCACATTCAATGGACATTCTGCTGAGCGCAGAGCCTGTCTGAGATTCTCTCTCTCTCTCTCCCTCTGCTCCTGCCCACACCCCTGCTCTCTCTCAAATAATAAATAAATCTTAAAAAAAAAACAAAAAGATTCAAGAGGCGCCTGGGTGACTCAGTCGGTTAAGCATCCAGCTCTTGGTTTTGGCTCAGGTCATGATCTCAGGGTTGTGAGATCGTTATAGCCCTGTTTCCGCCCGTGGCGCCCCAGCACCTAAAGCACATTGCAGGTGCCCGAAAGGCACAGGATGTGACAAGTCAGGTCCCCTGGGAACCCCACGCCTCCCTGCTGCACACACAGCCTTGCACTGGGCTCCACACTCAGCAGGGAGTCTGCTGGAGATTCTTTCTCTCCCTCTGCCCCCCATTCCCCTGAGTGTTCTCTATCTCTCTCACAAGTAAATAGATAAATAAAAATTAAAAAAAAAAGATTCAAGAGCTCAGCATCGGGCGCCTGGGTGGCTCAGTTGGTTAAGCGACTGCCTTCGGCTCAGGTCATGATCCTGGAGTCCCGGGATCGAGTCCCACATCGGGCTCCCTGCTCAGCGGGGAGTCTGCTTCTCCCTCTGACCCTCTTCCCTCTCGTGCTTTCTATCTCTCATTCTCTCTCTCTCAAATAAATAAATAAAATCTTTAAAAAAAAAAAAAGAGCTCAGCATCATACCACTTGCCCCAAATGCCCTCCTGATCATGCATAATAAGCAACATTTTATACGTTTAAAATTACTCCTGCTTCTAGAAATACTATGGATCAATTGGACAATATGACACATTTTGAAAATGAAAGAAGAGAAACATTTGGTACCAGCTAAATAAAAGCCTGTATTTCAGGCATCTAAGCTTAAATGCAAAGCACATTGGATTCAGTACAACTGACCACTAGTGCTTCTTTCATATATTTGGTAGTCTGGCACAAATTCTGCTCTTCAGCTGCATTCCAATCTTGTTTCAAATTGTGCCGTGAGCTGCATTTTTTAGAAGTTCCTTCCTACTTAGCTGTATTTGTGTGTGCTTATAAACACAGAACCACATCGGATTCCCCTTTCCATAGCAGACATTCCAGTCCCATGACACATATGGACATTCTGCTGAACTAACCTGGGACCTAGGAAAACAATACTTTGGAGAGCTTGAAAATAAAAATTAAATATTACATATCCGATGTTGCCCAGAGTATGATTTTTACATTATTCTTGTTGGACCCACTTAAGTGGAGCTAATTTAGTCCCAGGATAATTACATGGTATCCTTTCTTTTTTTCTTGCTGGCTTGCTTTTTCTTTCTGCTTTGCAAGCATTCATAATTGTGTTTTTATAACAGAGGAGACATTTCTTCAGTCTTCCTTAACCTCTGTTAGCCTGAAAGGTAATGGGATCGATCTCCAGTTGTTACAAAGATGGATCCTGACTGTGTTGGTGGCTTAGATGGGAAGTGGATAAGGCTCTCGTTTTTAGCAGGTTTTCATATTTGGTTAATGATGTAAATCTCTAGGCTCCAAATGGAGGGCTGCAGGCTTGCGCCAAGTAGCAGGCCATGGGGATTCGGTGATAAGTTAAAAAAAAAAAAAAAAAAGATTCAAGGGGCCCCTGGGTGGCAGTCTGTTAAGGGTCTGACTCTTGGTTTTGGCTCAGGTCATGATCTCAGGGTCGTGGGATCGAGCCCCACATTCAATGGACATTCTGCTGAGCGCAGAGCCTGTCTGAGATTCTCTCTCTCTCTCTCCCTCTGCTCCTGCCCACACCCCTGCTCTCTCTCAAATAATAAATAAATCTTAAAAAAAAAACAAAAAGATTCAAGAGGCGCCTGGGTGACTCAGTCGGTTAAGCATCCAGCTCTTGGTTTTGGCTCAGGTCATGATCTCAGGGTTGTGAGATCGTTATAGCCCTGTTTCCGCCCGTGGCGCCCCAGCACCTAAAGCACATTGCAGGTGCCCGAAAGGCACAGGATGTGACAAGTCAGGTCCCCTGGGAACCCCACGCCTCCCTGCTGCACACACAGCCTTGCACTGGGCTCCACACTCAGCAGGGAGTCTGCTGGAGATTCTTTCTCTCCCTCTGCCCCCCATTCCCCTGAGTGTTCTCTATCTCTCTCACAAGTAAATAGATAAATAAAAATTAAAAAAAAAAGATTCAAGAGCTCAGCATCGGGCGCCTGGGTGGCTCAGTTGGTTAAGCGACTGCCTTCGGCTCAGGTCATGATCCTGGAGTCCCGGGATCGAGTCCCACATCGGGCTCCCTGCTCAGCGGGGAGTCTGCTTCTCCCTCTGACCCTCTTCCCTCTCGTGCTTTCTATCTCTCATTCTCTCTCTCTCAAATAAATAAATAAAATCTTTAAAAAAAAAAAGAGCTCAGCATCATACCACTTGCCCCAAATGCCCTCCTGATCATGCATAATAAGCAACATTTTATACGTTTAAAATTACTCCTGCTTCTAGAAATACTATGGATCAATTGGACAATATGACACATTTTGAAAATGAAAGAAGAGAAACATTTGGTACCAGCTAAATAAAAGCCTGTATTTCAGGCATCTAAGCTTAAATGCAAAGCACATTGGATTCAGTACAACTGACCACTAGTGCTTCTTTCATATATTTGGTAGTCTGGCACAAATTCTGCTCTTCAGCTGCATTCCAATCTTGTTTCAAATTGTGCCGTGAGCTGCATTTTTTAGAAGTTCCTTCCTACTTAGCTGTATTTGTGTGTGCTTATAAACACAGAACCACATCGGATTCCCCTTTCCATAGCAGACATTCCAGTCCCATGACACATATGGACATTCTGCTGAACTAACCTGGGACCTAGGAAAACAATACTTTGGAGAGCTTGAAAATAAAAATTAAATATTACATATCCGATGTTGCCCAGAGTATGATTTTTACATTATTCTTGTTGGACCCACTTAAGTGGAGCTAATTTAGTCCCAGGATAATTACATGGTATCCTTTCTTTTTTTCTTGCTGGCTTGCTTTTTCTTTCTGCTTTGCAAGCATTCATAATTGTGTTTTTATAACAGAGGAGACATTTCTTCAGTCTTCCTTAACCTCTGTTAGCCTGAAAGGTAATGGGATCGATCTCCAGTTGTTACAAAGATGGATCCTGACTGTGTTGGTGGCTTAGATGGGAAGTGGATAAGGCTCTCGTTTTTAGCAGGTTTTCATATTTGGTTAATGATGTAAATCTCTTCTTCTAATAATGAGTCATTTTTCCCTTCGCCTCTCAGAGTTTATGGCCCAGCAGAATCTCAGCAGGTGGTATTTGGGGATGTGTGCCCGCTGCTTACGTCTCTCTTAGATGGGTGAGTTAAAATATCTTCGAGGCCAGTGATCACAGTTATGAGTAACTGTGAGTAGATCTCATTCATGCTACACGATGAGTGTGTGACGTTAGAGTCTAAGCATTTGACGGCAGAGCAAACCCGTAGCCCCATGTCGATTAGTGTCCATGGGGGGGAGTAGGTCTGTCTGCCAGGAAGAGGGCCACCCAGGACTTGAGGAATGGCTGTCAGTGGACACCTACTCTCTGGTTCTAGTGACACGTGTAGACTGTGAGCAGTTGCCCTTGTGCTCTCTGGGACTCTTTCTGCATTTTAGAATTTTCGGAAAGTCTGTGGAGTGTGTTAACACTGGACTGAGGAACTCATGATCCCTTTGGGACAGAGCCTCTGACCCCGGACCCATGACCACCGATTCCCAAGGTCACATCTTCTGAGTAAAGATCGCGTCTTTAGCAACAAATGGAACCAGATATGTGTGGCTGAGACACAATACGCCAAGACTTCCTACTTCGGGGTGCTGGGAAGGACCCCAGTTTGGTGGAGGAGTCTGCGTTCAGTGTCCTGAAGAAGGCATATTCGTGTTTGCCCAGCAAAGGCTCCTGCACAGCCAAAGTCCACCAGCTGGAGGCTGTCATTACAGCCCCGTTTCCGCCCGCGGCACCCCAGCACCTAAAGCACATGGCGGGCGCCTGAAAGGCACAGATGTGACAGGGCAGGTCCCCGTGGGAACACTCTGCCTCCCGCTGCACACACCTGCAGGGCCGAGCCTCCCACAATGATGCAGTTTCTCCTTGCACCCTCCTTCTGGAATGCTGGGGCTTTTAGACCCATCCAAAAAAATTTCTTCCATGGAAAATGATAGGAGGGCTCTTTTTCTTTTTTTAAGTAGGCCTCTTTTAAGTAAGCAGATTCCAGAAATAAAAAAGGCATAGTGGTTAAATGATCTTTGCCAGAGTTGCCTTTCCATTTTAAATGTGAAACAGATGGCATTATTTTGAGTCCTGAGCTGCTTTCTTCAAGAGGCTTCTTTCCTCTCTGCATTCCTCAAGGGCGTGTAAGGTCCCCATAAGAGCTGGTGAGCCACTGAGACCAAGGTATTCCCACCAGAGAAGTGCACCATCATCTCCTCAGGGAAGGTCTGAGATACAGAATGCAGTGAGACTTTTGTTGTAAAGACCTTGAGACTTTTCAATTCCGGAAGACAAACAATGTAGGGTGGTAACTCTGAGGTCCTGGGTCGGTCTTTGCCCTGATATGCTTCCTGCTGGACTAGAACATTCGGTCCTGGAGGGAGGCCCCCCGGTCGCTGTTGGAGGTGCCGGTCAGCCGGAGCGCTCCTCACAGTCTTGGCATTTGTCACAGCCTCACTGGTGTGACTTGCTGGGAGTGCCTCAGGCTAAAGAGCCCATCTGCTTAAGGGTCGGTCCATGAAATCAGAGTCTCGAGGTGGGGCGGGCGTGGGGACGGTCTCGTCCCCTCTGTGACGCGAAGGGGGGGTTCAGGCCTTAGCATTCAGCCCCTGCAGCAGGTCTGGATCACCTGCACCTTCACGGCCAAGATCATACATTTATATTATTTATATATTTGTATCGTAATATACCCTATTATCATATAAATTTATATCCATTTTCAAATATTCTTTCAATGTTCCGATCTTCCCATTGACATCTTGGGCTGAAGAAACAGCTGGAAGGGAATGCAGGGAGCCAGCAACCATCCCTGTCCTCTGTGATGTGACCCCGAGCTGTGGGGTGCAGGGGGCAGCGCACCTGTCATGGAGACAGTGTTGGTGCATATTCTGGCTGACTGCGGATGTGGAGTCACCAGGTCTCCTGGAATGTCAAAGTCTCAGAATATGTAACAAATGTTAGCCGTGCACGCCGTCATGTAGATGATAGGGAAATATTTGTAGAAAACCACAGAGAAGTGTCGTTTCACATGCATTAGGAGAAGCCCGTTTAGCAAGATGAGCTTGCTTTGGGCGACCCCAGCTCTGCACTGACGGAGTGGACGGTGGGTCTTGCTCAGGGTGGGACCCCCGTGTGGACCTTGAGCGCAGGGCACCAGCAGTGGGCGCCCAGAGGAAATGTGGAATCACCGAGGAGAAGCAGGTGCCGACGCGGAGCGTGTTAAGCGCGTGTGGTTCAGCCCAAAGCTGTGTAACCCAACAACAGCAGACTCTGCAAAAACACAGCTCCAGTCCTATGAAAGCCTGCTTTGTAAGGGATGGAGTAACAGAGGAATACAGAGCAACATGTATCAAAGTTTCCATCCGAGGGAACATTGTTCTTAGAACCCAGTTATTAGGGCAGGAGACTACTGTGCGGGTTGCAGCGCTGACATCTGTGTTGGGTTTCAGGTACAACGTCTGCATTCTGCCTTATGGACAGACAGGATGTGGGAAGAGCTACACCATGTTGGGTCCACGTTCTAAGGAGCCGCGCGTCCCCCCATGGGGCCCGCACAGAGACCTCGGAATCATGCCCAGGGCTGCCGGAGAGCTCTTCAGGTACCTGGGGGCAGTGAGCAGAGGCCCACAGCAGCAGCAGGGAGTGTGGGAGGCCAGCAGCACTGGGAAGGGATGCGGCGGACGGCTCCTGTTTGCAGAGACCACACCTGATGCTCCTATTGGAACACACTACCGTCCAGTGTTTAAATACTCGGGCCTCCGTACCACAAACCCTAGAAATTCTTATGGCACATTCATGTTGAAATTCTGTCGTTAAGACAAAACTTTTTTTTTTTAAGGGTTGCTTTTTTCTTTTTTTAAGATTTTATTATTTGTTTTGGGGGGGAGGGGCAGAGGGAGAGAGAGAATCTCAAGCCGATTCCCAGCTGAGCATAGAGCCTGACTCAAAGCTTGATCTCACGACCCTGAGATCATGACCTGAGCCAAAATCAAGAGTTGGACTCTTAACCAACTGAGCCACTCTGGCGCCCCAAATCAAAACTTTTTGAAAGAGATCCCTAGCTGGACAATTTCCCTGTTCAGGAGAGGATGGAGGATGGAGGTTTTCTGTCCTAGAATGGGGCGGGGACAGCGGGAGACCCCCGCGGTCTTTTCCTTGCCTCCTGGCCCTGGAAAGAGCTGACACATCTGGTTTTCTTCTTTGGAGTTACAGCGAGAGCTGGGCATGTTGAAGATGCTTCTGTTCTGGGAAAATATCCCTGGAAGAGACCCACTGCATTTTCCTGATTTTACCAATACAATTACTCCTGGAAAAACTTAGTAACAAGTTGTCCTTGGCAGCCCAGGTTACCAGGGGATCCTGGAATAAAGGTGTGACATTCCACCCTCTAGGCCTGGGCACAGACCATCCCTGCCTCCAGGGGCCTCCAGGGGCCACCGTGCAGAATACTCATTCTCACTTTGCACACCCTGCTTTGGACGCACCGTGGCTCACTCTGCGGCAGTGCGTGGCATGTCCCGGTGAAACCATCTGCCCCTCGAGAGCAGGCCTCTCCCAGCAGCAGGTCTCTGGGGGAGCCGGGGGCCTTCCGTGCTGCCCGCCCCCTGGATTCGGTTTCTCGCTCTGTGTCTCCTTGCCGAGGCTTTTCGCGTCTTAAAATCAGGGCCAAAGACATAAGAACTCACACACAGCCTAATGTTTTGGAGCCTCTTCAAACCAATATTCCTTAAGTATTAGTACCCATAGAGAATGCGTTTATTAAGTTTACTAGTACTAACTACTTCTGAAGAGGCCCTGTCAGGGCAGGCGAGGCTGTGTGCTGTGTAACAACCATTCTGGAAATCTCAGTGGCCACGAGGCCGGTGCGGGGTGCCGCGCGGGGCCGCCACTCCCGAGTGTGTGCTTGTGGGTTGTCAGAGGTGGGGGAGGAGGTCTGGGGCGTGTGGCCAGCCTGAGGACTTCTCCTGGGAGGAGCACGTCAACCCTACCTCATTGCATCAGCCCAAGAAGGCGCATGGCCACAGGCCGCCTCGGGGGTCCCTGGGGTGGGGCTGGGGATCTCGGGTCCCAGAGCTCTCCCTCTGGGGACACGGCACTCCATCGGGGGTTTGCTCTGGTTTCAGAATTTCAGGGGGCTGGGACTGCAGCGTTAGTCCCTGACATTCTCCGCAGAGCCAGGCTGGTGCTGGTGGGAGAGCCATCTGCCCGACTCCGGGGAGACCTCGTCAGACCAGGCAGCAGCCACATTGGCCGGAAGCTAAGGGGCGGCCACGTGAGACCACGGCAGAGCTGTAGCAGCTCTGGGCTTTCCTGAGGGTCACGTGGAAGGAGGGGCCCCGGAGAAACCAGGGGTCAGGAGAAGATCTTGCAGCGTCTGCCGCGGAGAAGGGCCCTGGGGGCCGCTGCCGTTCCAGGCTCCGGGGCCCTTGCGGGAGCCTGCCGACCACCCTTCCAGCGCCCTGTGCTCATTGGCACCCTTGGCGTCGTGAAGGGGCCTGGCTCCTTCCAGCCCGGTGACACCACAGCCTTCGTGGCAGATCTCGGCTTACCAGCAGACGTGAGGAGATTTTCTACCTGCCAGACTGAATGTACAAGGAGTACAGAGAATGCGCGTGATAATTTCCAGCCCTCAAAAAGCCCAGAACGAACACAGAGAGGATCCAGGAGGATGTGCCGGACCAGGGGCGGCCCTCCCACCCGCCCCGCCTCAGGGCGGCCCTCCCACCCTGGGAGCCTCAGGGCTCCCCCCTTTGTAACCTCACGGGAGCCCACACGCATTTTTGTGTAAAATGTGCCACAGTAGGCATCCTGCCTACTAAACACTCGGCTTCTTCAAGGCAAAGACTGAAGACCATTTGCAGAGTCTAACAAACTACTGAACACCAGAGAGACAAAGGAACCAATGCATGAAGCAGATCAAGTACTTAAGTAAATGGAAGGAAATCTTCAAATCAGCTCCCTGGTATTATGTAGATAAGAAATTTCGAATTCGGGAGGCGCCTGGGTGGCTCAGTTGGTTAAGCGACTGCCTTCGGCTCAGGTCATGATCCCGGAGTCCCGGGATCGAGTCCCATGTCGGGCTCCCTGCTCAGCAGGGAGTCTGTTTCTCTCTCTGACCCTCTTCCCTCTCATGCTCTCTATCTCTCATTCTCTCTCTCAAAAAAAAAAAAAATCTTTAAAAAAAATAAAAAAATTTCGAATTCGGGTTTTGTGATGCCCGAAGACAGGGCCGTTCACACGAGGGGTGGAGCCACACGCTGAGGTCAGGTTTGCATGAGCGTGTTCTCGAGAGCGGAGGGGGGAACCCCAAGCCCCCACCCCGGTGACCTAGCTCTTCGCTCTTCCCACAGTTACGCTTCTTAGAGTCTTCTCTGCAGACCCCAGCACGGAGGACAATCCAAATCTGAACTCTGTGCCAAAAATTATTTTCACTGGAGAATTTATTTTTTTCTTTCATCTTAGTCTTTCTCATTTCCTTGACTGTATCACCAGAAGACATTAATTGCTCATTTTATCTTGGCTCTCCGTAGCTCCTCGGTAAACTCCATCTATCCATGCTTGTGTAAGACACACCAGGCTGCGTGTTTCCTCAGCACAGACACCCTCCTCCCACGCTGGACTTCCAGCCCTGGATCCAGAATTTCTTTGTGGACAAGAAAGCACCGTAGTCAGACTCAGATTGGTCTTACTGAGCACGTGTCAGACAGGCCATGATCCCCAGAAGACAGAGGCGGCCTCCGTGGGCTGTGTGGGAGTTTTGTGGAAAGGCACTAGCAGGGGCGTGGGCGGGAGGGGCCGGGCTGGTGGTCACTCTTCCCCTGACTGGGGTTATGGGGTTTTTCTCTAAGCGGGTAGTATCTGTATTTTTAAAGCTTTCCACGGTCAGCACATAGCACTTTACAAGATGAAACAGAAGATGTGCAGTAGTTTCTAAGAGGCTGGGTAGGTTGTCAGGAGGTCCCGGGCAGGACTTGGCTGGAGGTCTGGGTGCGAGCTGGGCTGGTGGAGGAGAGTCTGCGCTCAGTCCTCCCTGGAACAGAGCAAACCCCAGCCCCGGAAAGGTGCTGAGCCCTCCTGTCCTGGCAGCTGGCTTTGGGCTTCTGCGTGGTGATGAGACTCGGGTGAGGGGCTTTCTGCATGGAGGCTGCGTGCTCTCCCCGTGTCCTCCCCTCATGGGCCTGGGATCCCAAGGGTCCCTACCGATGACTGAAATCATTGATTCAGATACAGCTCAGGTAAAGCAGTTGTTCCCAAGACAGTTGCTTACCCTGCGGTTCGAAGAGAATTTGCCCTTCTTCCCGCCGGTGGTACAACGCTGCCCGGTGCTCACGGGCTGGGGACCTCGCTGCGTGTCCCAGACGGCAGCCTGTCCTATGAGACTGGGTCCCCTACAGCTTTCTTCACGGGGCCACTCCCGTGGTGGCTGAGTCCCTCGTGTCCCCACCCCCAGACTTATTTCAGAAAACCCATCGAAGAGCCTGAAGGTTGACGTGTCCATAGTGGAAGTGTATAATAACGACATTCTTGAACTTCTGGCCAAAGAGCGCCGCACGGCGGTGTCTGGGCCCAAGCGTGACGTGCGGACAAGCAAGGCGGCAAAGCGGGAGGTCTCTCCGCCAACCCAACAGTGAGTGTTCAGCCGTGGCCCGGCAGCTTCACCGGGACCCCTTTATTGCTGAAAGGGTTCGCAGTGTTGTTGCACTTAGGATGTGTCGTGCATTTTTCCATTTGCTTTAGAAATTATCTTTTTAAAATCACAGTTAAAACAGACACGTTAGGGCGCCTGGGTGGCTCAGTTGGTTAGGCGACTGCCTTCGGCTCAGGTCATGATCCTGGAGTCCCGGGATCGAGTCCCGCATCGGGCTCCCTGCTCGGCGGGGAGTCTGCTTCTCCCTCTGGCCCTCCCCCCTCTCATGTGCTCTCGCTCTCAAATAAATAAATAAAATCTTTAAAAATAAATAAAACTAAAAAAAAAAAACCAGACACGTTAATTAACCTTTTAAAATATCTTGATGACAAATGTGTGGGACAGGTTCCGTCCTCATATTCCAGATGAGGGAGCGAGCTTGGAGAAGCGGACCTGCCCGCGGTCCCGCCATTAAGTATAGACGTCCTCATTTCCGCTTGTACGTGTCAATATTTGATAGAATACAGTAATTATTCATCTTGTAAATAGGGAAGGCTCCTCATATTTTTTAAAAATGTTTTATTTATTGATTTGACAGAGAGAGAGACAGCGAGAGAGGGAACACAAGCAGGGGGAGTGGGAGAGGGAGAAGCAGGCTTCCCGTGGAGCAGGGAGCCCGATGCGGGGCTCCATCCCAGGACCCCGGGATCAAGACCTGAGCCGAAGGCAGATGCTTAACAACTGAGACACCCAGGGGCCCCGAAGGCTCCTCATATTGATTAAAGACATTCCTCAATGTTACCTGTTCCCTGAGTCCACATCTGGGTATCCGGTTTGCTCGCGGGGGGAGGAGGAAGGCTGTCTCCCCTTGTTGATGAGGGTTAGGGTAGTGAGCCTGTCCTGGGATCTCAGAGTCAGTAAGGGAAGGGTCTGCAGCTGTTTCTAGCATCTGAAAAAAACCTACAGGATGGTACACTGAACCATAAGCTTGCACAAGGTAACCAGAACTCTCAGCTTTTGACTAATAAGACTCAGAACAACATAGGTCTCGCTGATGGGGATTTCTGATTAGCTGTCATCTCTCACTAACTAAAATAGGGAAGTGGACTTTTATTGGAGTCTGCGGGGGTGTCCTGAAACAGTTGGTTATTCCAGAGTAAAGCAGTTCATGACACGTCAGTCAGGCCTCAGAAAAGGAAGGCATTTGATTTGCTGTTATTTTGTATAAGGTGTGCTTCAGTCCGCTTTCCTACAGTAGGTCCCCTTGGTCTGTGTGAGAGGGTGGGGGGCGTCGCTTGCCACCGCCGCGGGCGCGCTCCCCGTCACCCGTGCGCTCTGCCAGGCCCATCCACAGTGCAGAGGACTTCATCGTGCTCGCTGCCAGAAGCCTGCAGCTCAGGGTGCAGCTCGCCACCCAAGTGCACGCCTGTTCTTCTAGATCCCACCTGGTAATAACGGCCAGTCTCACCGCAGCCTCCCCCTGCGGCAGCCCCGGTAAGTGGCCGTGCGTGCCCGGGCAGGGGCGCGGAAGAGAAGTTGCATGGAGCCCGAGGGTGGGAATTGCAAACACTTCTTTGGAGGGTCTGGAACCCAGGCTGAGAAGAGAGGGGATCGGGGTGAGGGACGGAGGGAAAGGCTTTGTTAAATAGGATATGACATGGGGAGAATGGGCGTATTGTATCTGGGAATATGATGCCCGAGCCATGAGTAAGACTGTGAGTGTGATTTGGGTTTAGAAAGTCACAAACCAGTATATACAATGGTGCCAGTTATGTAAGAAAAGTGAGGCATGGGTTGCAAGGGTCTGGACGTCCCAGTTGGTGAAGACTGGGCCAGCACACAGGGTCATCTGTGTGACTCGCGAAGCACAAGGCCCCCAGGCTGGGATGGACGGGCCGAGGACCCAAATCTCTGTAGGCTCCCGGTGCCAGAGTCCACGGGCAGAGGACAGCTGGTCCAGGGCCCACTTCACACGTGGTCACACAGATGCCTGGTCCCGGGGGGAGGGGTTGGCACGCCCCTGACCCTGTGGCCGCCAAGGTGGTCCAGGCAAGGGAGGATGGGGGGTGGGGGCTCAGTGCAGAGATTCCTGACCGCCCCGCGCCCCCCATACTCGGCCCGATGAGTCCCAGGACCGGGCGCACCTGCAGGGAGGGCGGGGCCGTGCGTGGCAGGTGCTGTCCAGGGAGCCCACAGCCGCTAGCTACACGGGAGAAGGCTGTGGAGACCAGAGTGGATTTTATGTTGTTCTTTTTTTTTTTTTTTGTAAATTATGTGTATTTTTTATGCTTTCCACAGTGAGTATATTATTTAGGTTTTATAAAAATCTCTTTAGGAAGTCTGTTTAGGAATAATGCTCAGTGAAATGGACACACATGGCAAAATGAAGACCAGTTTTGTCAGGATTTCTGTGGGGGCCTAGGAAACAAGGGTGGAGTTTACCTCTGTCAGGGCCCATCGGGTATTAATTTGTGTCATTACCGACTATTTCTGGGAACGTCATTTGGTGCTCATGAGACTACGTGGGCCCTGGCTTCCCTTTCCCTGTTTTACCCAGAGAAGCCCCTCCCTGTAGCCAGCCCCCCACCCCCGGAGTGTGGTCCTTCGGGATGAGGGCCCACTCTTCGGCGCTGTGGGAAGCTGAGGGAGGCTTTGTGGATGTCACTCCCAGGTACATGTCACCCCCTTGCAGCTGACCGGCGGTCACCTGACCACCGCTCGAGGGGCGGCCTGCCTGGGGCAGAGCCTCGCCCGGGTCCCCGGGGGCCCAGCGACCCGCGGAGCAGGTGCATGCCAAGCTGCAGCTCGTGGACCTGGCGGGCAGCGAGTGTGTGGGTGAGCCCAGGGCGGAAGCCTCTGTCCTGGGTGAGTGGGGATGTGGGGCGTCCTCAGCATGGCCCCCGTCTGCAGTGAGCTCACAGCTGCTCCTCCCAGTGGGCAACTGTCCTTCCACGGCCGCCAGACGCGCCCGTCCCACAGCGATGCCCCCTCCACGGCTCTGCAGCGGCCAGCCCATTCCCAGCCGAGGCCGCACAGGGCGTCAGAGGAGGACGTCGATGGGACTGAGGGGCTCCCCACTCAGTGCTCCCTTCCCGAGAAGCGACAGTTTTGCTTTCCCTCATTCATTCCTTGATGTTGCCAGAGACTTCGTTGCCCATGCTGCCCACGTGGCTGGGTCTTCTCGCTTTCCCAGGTGTGTCCGGAGTGACAGGATCGGCCCTGAGGGAGACTTTGTTCATAAACCGGAGGCTGGCGGCCCTCGCAGATGTCCTGGGGGCCCTGTCGGAGCGCAGAGGCCACATCCCGTACCGCAACAGCCAGCTCACCCACCTTCTCCAGGATGTTCTCGGTAACGTAAGGGCCCCCCCAGAGGCCCCAGACCACAGGACCCCCGGGGGGTGCCACAGCACACTCCCTCCCATGGGGGGCTTCCTCCTCTTTTGGGGACTTCCTGGGCCCCCAGGTCACTGTTGTCCTCTTCCAGAATATTTCCAGCGCTGTTCTCTGTGTCGCCGTGCACTGGGGCGGTTCGTTTGCACGTGCCTGGCCAGCCCTCCAAGTAGGTCCTCGGCCCCTTGCAGGGCCGCCTCCGTGTCCTGCGTCCCCTCCTGTTGGGTGCATGGTGGGCTGCAGCGCACCCCGAGGACAGCTGGGGTAGAATGTTCTAGGCTTGCTGTGCGTCTCATCCTGGCGTCTCTTCTCTCTCACTGCAGATGGGCTTTCTCCACAGGAAGAGGCAGGGCTGCATCCAGGGTTCGTGCTTCGGCTTCTCCCTCCAGCAGGGCCCCTGATGCACGGGGCTGGGGGCGGGGCGGCGGGGCCCACGGGAGACACACGCAGCCGTTGCTGTGGCCTCTCAGTGTCTGCGTGGTTTGCCTCCCCGTCCTTCTGTCTTTCCCTCTCCCTTGTCCCTGGGTTTGCTTTCCCTCCCAGGCTGCTCAGCAACCCTGTCGTCCGACAGGCTGGGGAGCCCCGGGTGCTCTGGCTGGGGGACCCCGCCATCTTGCGCCCTCCCCAGGAGCGGCCCGTGCCCAGCCCCGCGCCCCCGAAGCGGGCGTCCGACTCCACGTGGCCTCCGCAACAGCTTAGCTGTGCCGGGTTTCTCTCGGGATCTTTCACCTGCCGTTGCTTCTTATTTTAAAGGAGGTGACGCAAAGCTCCTGGTGATTCTGTGCGTGTCCCCCTGCCAGACGCACGTGGCAGAAACGCTGCGGTGCCTGGGGTTTGGGGCCCGGGTGAGGCAAGTGCAGCGAGGCCAAGCTGGAGGGGGCAGTGCGGGCCCCCGAAAACCCAGGTGAAGCAGGAGCCGTGGTCGGGTTGCCTGTGTTAATGGGTTTTGCGCCCTTACGATGAATTTCCTGTCATTCCTTGACAATGTATGTGCCCTAACACAAGCTCATTCACTTTGGACTTCATAAGCCTGTTGTTTTCCAAGGAACCAGTGACGTGCTGACCCATCATCAAGGAGCAGGAGATGCCCAGCAAGAAGCGGGGGGCACAGGGACATGGCGGCTGAGCAGAAGGAGCTGTGCTGTCTGCCTGCCAACGGGGAAGGTACGAAGACCAGACGATCTGGGGTCGCAGTGCAGTTCCAGAACCACAGCCCCAGGCTCTCGTGCTGGCCGCCTGACCCGGACACTTCCCTCAGCCCGTAAAGCCCCGTTCCCTCGTCTCAAGATGCCGGTGAGCAGAAACATGCCACCAAGAGCAGATGTTTCGTGTTACTGCTCCTCCTTTTGCAATGACCCGTTGTCCCAAGCTGACATCCCAGAGCTGGCCGTGACGCGTGACACGTGGCAGGCCGCAGGCTCTCAGCGTGGGGGCCATGTGTGGGATCCGGGGGCCCTGGGACCTCGGATGTGGCGCGAGAGCCTACCCCGACCGTGGGCCGCGCGCTGATGAGGTGCGCGTGTCGCAGTGTCCGCACGGCGACGGGGACTGCTTGGGTGGAAGCTGCTCTGAGCTGCGCCCACGGGCGTGCGGGCGTCCCAGACCAACAGGACGCGCGGCCGTGCCCTTGCCACGCGTGCGGCTCTGGAAGTGAGGCTCAGATGCAGGTCCCCGCTGATGCTTCCGGAGCACGAGTGGCTTAAATGTGAGGAAAACCTGCGGGGTGTCCCCTGCGGAAGGAGGACACCACAGAGGGCGCGGCAGGGCTGGGTCAGGTAGATGATTGGGAGGGTGACAGATTGATCGGCCGCTAGACGACGGACCGCGGTGAGCGCTCCTGGGCGTGTGTGCGCCCCGTGAGCGGGGCAGAGACAGTAGCACGTGGACACAGTGTTCCCGTCCTGACGCAGACGTTGTCAGCAGCATGGCTGCGAGGGACACGATTTCCCAGAAAGCTGAAAACCCAGCAAAGTTACAGACAGATCCGTTTTAGAGGCTCTGACGCGGGAGACTCCCCACCGCGGAGTCGGGTGACAGGACAGAAACCTGCCCCTGGCTTCACGGGAAGCAGAGCGGGGCAGTCTTCGTCTGCGAGTGTGGGATGGATGCTAACAGGTGGGAGGGGTGTCTGGTCACTGCAGGATCCCTGTGGCAACCGGACAGCCCACGAGGCTCCGAGACAGCCCCGCAGCTCGAAAAAATCCGCATGTCCGCGAGGGCGGCCCCAGAGCGGGTGTGTGCCCGGGAGCCCCTCCACACCCAGCCTGTGCGGGGCGCATCGCTGCCATCCCAAGGCAGGTAGGGGACCACCAGGGCCAGCTGGAGAGTGACCATGCGGGTCCTCGACCACTCTCTGGGGCACGGCCCACTGCCTGCCGAGAACAGTCTTTCTTCCTTGCACGTGCTGTGAGTGGCCACCGCCGCACCACGCATGCCCCCTGCAGCCCGGCGTTCTGTCCCCGCCGCCCCGGACGACCCCTCAGGACTGTCCCGCGAGACGGTCACGGGCCTCTGGAAGCTGAGGCAGTTACGGCCGACAGGGCAGGGACAGGGGCATTTGGGGCAGGCGGAGAGCGTGCACACAGGCTCACCTCCTGGATGCATGCTCAGGGCCCCTGTCCGCACGTGGCTGTGGCCGTGTGAGCCCCCAGGCCTCAGGGTGGCCGCGTGCCCGGCCTTAGAGCCGCTGCTCTGTGTTGGCGTGATAATTGTGCAAACCTCGCCTCTGACTGGGCGTGTTTGGCAGAGGCAGAGAACACTTCATCTGTGGAGGAAGAGGAAACTTGAGCACGGCCTTGCGGCCCGTGTCACTGTCGGGATGCCAGAGCGCGTCCCAGGGCTTCAGGGCCTCACGAATTCCTGGACCTCCCCTGCCCGTCCCCCGCGCACAGCCTGCGTCTGTCTCTGCCGCCCCCGGGGCCTGTGTCTCCCAGAGGTGGGGGCCCGCGTGCGGAGGAGGGAGAGCGTGTGGGGGCCTGTGGCCTTTGGCCCCATCACTGGCACGAAGAGAAGCCCTGTCCCATGTGCCCTGACAATGCGGGGCGCTCCAGGAATGTGCCTCCCAGCCCTGCCCCTCCCGTCACCAGCCGAGCGGCCCACCCTGTGCCCCCCACGTCCTCCTGCCCCCGGCTCCCTTCTCCTGGCTGCCCCTGCCCTGGGACAGAGCAGCCCGACCTTCCTCAGACACAGTTCGAGCGGCTGTGCCGACGACGCGCTGTCGCGGGGGCCTGGGTCCGCGTGCAAAGGTAGCCTCGCGCCCCTCGGGTCTCGTCTCCCGCATTCTTGGGACTGGCTTGGTGCCCCCAACCCCCAGGGCATTTCAGGGATGCTGAACAGCCAGAACCGGTCACATCCCCCCTCAAGGCGCATTTTCCACTTGCTCGGGGGCCTGAACCCTTGGCCCTGAGCCGTGGGGTCTGTGGCAACAGCGTAGGAAGGCCCGGAGCTGCAGGGAGCGAGGCCACGGGGCGTCAGTGGGCGGGGTCCGTGGCACACTGTCTGGGAGCAGCAGCTGAGAGTGAAGGTGAGTACGGGGCCGGGGCGGGTACAGCCGGGGTCTCCTGTGGGAGACAGCGAGGTGACCCATCGCTATGAGGTAAGTACTTGGATAAAAAAGCATCCGGTGCGAACTTTTAAAAAGTGTGAAGAGTACAAAGGGTCCCCATACCCTAGGCCCTTCCCCCACCCCCTGCACTGAACTCCAGGCTGAATCCGGGGTGAGGCCCCTCCTGGCGCTCTTCCGCCTCCTAGCAGGCCTGCCTCGACCTTCCTTCGCCACCTCCTGGAAGCCACTCTGTCCCCGCCTGGGGAGGCGGTAACCTGTGAACCACTGCCCCCCCTAAACCCGACCCACGTGCCCCTTGGGGCAGTGGAGCCAACCCTTGCTGGCGAGTCAGTGGGTTTTAACCACTTACGGTTAAAAACGTCTTCATTCTGCAACTTTTAGAAAACCACGGAGTCACGTGCGATGGGGCCCAAAGCCGAACACTGATGGGCCTCATGGTGCCCCCCTGCTCCCCTCCTCGGAGCCCCCGGCCGCCGTGCCTGGGGCCCAGCTCCTCTCTAAGAGCCCCAGGTGCCCTGGACAGACGCCCTGGTCCCCAGTCCACCCTCTCTTCTCCTCTGCCGAGCCTCCAAGCCCACGCAGCGGCTCTGGGGCGGCCGGCCACGGAGTGAGTAGGCTTCTCTGGAGAAAGGACATCCTGTACTCTAGATTCTGTCTCCCAAGGAGGTGGGCCTAGGTGACCCAATGGCCACAGGGCAGAGTTCACCAAACCGAAGTGAAGGTTACACATGCCCTCTGGACTCCAGGGTCCATGACTTCGATGGGCTGTGGGTCCCCGAGGGTCACAGGCCTCTTGCACCAGCAGCCGGCCCAAACAGAACTGCCCCCAGGTCCACTTGTGACGTCCTGCATGCCAGCAGGGCGGCAGCCGTGCTCCCCAGTGCGCACCCAACTCTCCCAGCCTCACCCCGGGGTGGGAGGGGTCGCAGCGAGACCAGGCAGTTGGCCCAGGGAGCTGCATCAAAACAGCCCTCGGGGTTTCTGTGACTCCAGGCCTGGTGACTCGACCCCTGGCCTCCATCCAAACCTGGCCCAGGCCTGGCCTCCACTTTCCTGAGCCGTCTGCCCACTCCGGGGCCCGGAGGGAACCTCGGTGGGCTTCCTTTCAGCCCCGTCGGCTATAGTGCAGGGTCCTGTGCCCGGGCCCACCACACCCCTGGGGGCCACACGACCCTCCCCACTGGTGGCCACCTGTGGTCTTGGAGTGTAGGTGAGTCAGCCTACTTAGCAGCCTCACCCCAGCCCTGACCTGTCTCTTCTCACAAACCATCCGTCCCTACTAGTTAAGACCCATTTTCCAGGAAAACATCTGTTTTGCCTGAAAGAAAAAGTCCTAATCTGCACAAAGGAGAAGCTGGTATTTCTGACTTTCCGGCCACTCTTGCCTCCGCCGTGTGTGTCAGGCTTTCACTTTTTCTGGGTGGGCAGGAGTGGGGAGGGGCTGGAGATCACTGCCCCGGGCCCCTCTTGGCCTCCAATTGCGCTCCCCGCTCACCCCGGCAACCCAAGATTACCCGGTGGTTAACAGACACTTGGCATAATTTTCCTTGTCTGTCCACGGGGCCTGGAGGAAGGGTAGAAATAGGAGCCCCTCCCGGGTTCTGGCGGTTTCTCGGGGTCAGCCAACGGTCCCTGCTGCCCCGTCTGCCAAGGACACAGGGTGCTGGCCCTGGCCTCCCTCCTGCAGCCCCTGCCGTCCTCAAGTTGCAGATGGGCGGGATCAGGGGTGATGGGAGGCAGAGTCTGGACGTGAGCCCCGACTTGCACCAAGAGGAGCCGGTCACAAACCACATGGCCCTGAGCACGCCAGGCTGGTCCTGCGCAGGCCTGCCCCCCCGCCCCCTGTCCGCCCTCCCGGACACCAGGGCCTGGGGCGGCGCTGGGCGGAGGCGCACGGCGTGCGTCCGGCGCCCTCTTGTGGCCGCTGCGGACAGGTGCGGCGCCCCCCGAGGCGGGCCGCCAAGCCCTGCCCGCTCACCATGTCCGCTCACCCTCGTGTGTGCACGCGGGGGCCTGTGTGCGGGGGCCGGCCCCGCAGGCTCATTTCTGCCCCACCCAACACCTTCTTTGCGCAGTAGCAAGTCAGTCCGCGGGGCTGAGCTCTTGTGCCCACGTTTTCTTTGAGGGAAAATCATCTCCATAGACCTCACGTCAGAGCAGACACAACCCCGTTTGTTACTATGGGGACTGGTGTTAGTAGGACTTTGGAAAATCATGGGAAGCGGGAGCTTCAGACAGCTCCGGACGCCCTCCTCCCATCCTTCAGGCCCTGACCTCCTGCTGCCTGGCTCAGGGCCCTCCCTCAGTGTTTTGTCTTGTGGCCGCTAGGCTGGGTGCCCTCTG